TATAGCTATAATCTATTATGTAAATATTTTGCACATTTGAAATTGCAACATTCATCTAAAAATGACTTAATAAAAGAAACAAGTCCACTATATTCTCTGTTAGAAAGTTGTGGTGCCCAATGGAAACTGACGTTGCTGTAAACGTCATCACAACAAAAAGTCAAGGAGCTGATTTTTTTCCCATTTGTACCAAAATGACTACGCATCGCTGCTGAATCCTACGCATATCACAGATTAAGAAAATAAAACTGGAGATAAAACTGGAGAATGAAGTAAATAGAGAGCAGTGGGCGTATAGCGTCCTGAAAATAAGTGATTAAAGATTGTTCAAACATGCACAAATCACTTCAAATACAACTTTGAATGAGTAAATGGGGAAACAACTATAACATTTGCTAAAAGCTCTACAGTATTTTTTTCATAATAGGTCTGCTTTAATTAAATTATAAATCGCTACAGCAACTGCCCTTGATTCTCATTGTTGCCCCATGGATAGAACTGTGTATTGTTCATCATGCAGCTGCTATTTGTATAAAGCCGGTAGCAGAGGATGCATTTAGGATTCAAATTTAAATAGTGAGGCACAGTTAAAAACAACTCCCCTGAACTTTTTGACTTTTCATTTCATAAAAGAGAATCCATAAGCAGTCACTGTAACACAAGCCACTTTAAAAGCCTTTACCGGTGCACCAGTCTCTAAAAATAATTCTCTCACCAGGCAGAATTAATAAGGCCGATGGTACACAGCTGAGGAGAGGGTGTGGTGGGGGCTCATGCAATATGTATATGCCCCCCCCCTTCACCAGTGCTGCTGCATTTTACATCTCTGTTCCTCTCCTCTGTTCAATTAAGCTGTAAGAGCAGCCTAACAAAGCCCAACCTGAGACAGTCGGCTGAATTTTGATGGTGTACAGTGTCACAGATGGTTCAAAGACAGGAAGCAGACAGAAGGAGAGACCAGGCCACAAACAGGAAATGCATAAGGTGAACTTTGAATACCAGACTTGGAATGAGACACAATAAATATAAATTAGGAATAGAAATTCTACAAAAATTGGTAAAATCAATTTTATTGTTTTGTTTGTTTGTTTTTTGTCTCATTTGAGAGCTTGCCTCAGTTTTAAAAAAATACCTCAAGGTTTGGTTTGAATAGAAGATGATTATTTCATAAACTGAAAATGTAATGCAATTTTGATCTATATAAAACAAAATATAATAAAAATTAGATCTCCCCTTAACCTCGCACCAATAAGCGCATGGCCATAGTGTTTAAGGCATTCTGGTGTTAAAGCTACTCAACAATAACTAACTCATTTATTTTACTACTGGTTCTAATATTCAACTTTTTTTTTTTGAGTGTCAATCATCCAAATAACTTCTATATTACAGTAACATAAGAGTAAAATATAAGTAGATTTAAATACTGTACAATATACACCAAAACTTGCCATGACAATCCTGCTTTTCAAAATGGAGAATTAATGGTGAAAAGTTGTGTTGCATGCTGTCTGAAAGGTCAGAGCTGCTCACACTTTGTGGGGAGTAGAGAGAGAGAGAGAGAGAGAGAGAGAGTACAGTAACAGTTGTGGAGTTGTACCACGCCCCTATAGCAAACAATGAACACAGGCAAACAATGAAGATGGCATTCTCTCTTCTCTCTCTCTCTCTCTCTCTCTCCTCTCTCCCTCTCTCTCCCTCTCTCTCCTCTCTCTCTCTCTCTCTCTCCTCTCTTTTTCTCCTCTCTCATATCCCATAATAAGCACTGCAGCCGGTGGCCATGGCGACACTGCTCTGTAGTGTTAGATAGCGATACAGAGCCTCTTCCTGGTTAGACTGAACAGTACATTATAGGTGGGTTCAGCATAGGTCATATCCAAACTCTCATTTACCCCTGTACAAAATCTTAGTGCCAGCAATCTAAACTATGATCCTCTAGGATATGTAACAAGAAAAACATTAGGTTTTTTTACATTTGAGGAAAACTATACATCAAATGATATGCTCTAAAAAAGTGTGAAAGTGTGAACAAAAATCAATCATAGTATATTTGGAATTATAACAACTTCCTCAAATATAAAATACAATTATTAATAAATGTATCTTACAGGCCAAATCTTGTGTCACGTGGTTTACAAAATCACTATTTAAAAAATGCACTATGTACACCAGTAAAACAGCCTCTAAATTCAGTTGGCGTTAGTAGATAAACTTGTTACAACTATAGTATACTTTCATTTAACTTAAGAAACAACAAAGAAATGTGCTATGCCTCATGTTTCACCTAGTGTGCACCTACACATTATCAGTGGTTTCCAGAGATGCCACATACTGTACAGTTTTTGATCTGACAGATTGGGCCATATCAGAAAATACTTATTGTGACAAAAGATAAGGTTTAACTGCTTCCAGCTCTGTACCTCCACAATTCACCTATGAGTAAAAATAAAAACCTCACGGCTTGATCTGTGTCCGTTACCAACCACAAGAAGATCTAACAGTCACAAACAGAGGCAGGTGGCTGAGGGGCCAAATGAGGCTAAGGTGTTTCCACTGTGAACTGTGACTATGACTGCACCGCAGGATAGCAATCTATACTGCGCGCTGGCTCGGACGCTTTTAGCAGCAGGTCAACAGCTTCAACAGCAATCAAACACACTGCTTTTAAGTGTGACTTTGGATCAGATGATTTGTAGATGAAGAAAGAAAGTAAGAAGAATTTGATACAATTTTGAGAAATGATTTAATCATATTACTACTACCACTTACTTATTCAGATAATCTTTTTTGCCTAGGCCTTTTGACCCTTTAGTTTTGCTCACTGCACTAGATATCAGCTATAGCACAAATTGTACTTCAAAATTTCAGCATATACAGCATGTCCATGTACAATGTACATGAAAAATGTGAGACTGGCATTCAATTTTAAATGATACTTTTTTTTAAACTGTATTTTTTACATTGCAGTACTCACTCCACATTTGGTAGTGGTAAGCTACTACAGCTGTAACCATGACTGCCCAGGGGTAGACTGATGGATACAAGACTGCAAATTTACGGATTAGGCCCCTCCAAACCACCACAGAGGAATTGAATAAATTCAAGATAGTTACGTTCAATGCCATACTTTGGGAACATGCAGGCAAAACAATGACATTTCCATGGAAACTCTCCAGAAAAGTTACATAGTACACCAAAACAACTACTTTAATATGCATATTTTTTTTCATCTGTACAAAGTACAGTACATAGCCACTCTTAACTGACTGAGGTGTGCACAGATGAGAGATAAACGTGACATTAGCCCAGCCCAGTGCCTGCTCACCGCACCATCTGATAACGGCAGCAGGAAGAGTAAAAAAAAAACAGTTTCCTCTAGCATATAATTGGCTATCTTTGTGCGATCTACTGCAGCCTTACCTCCATGCAGAATAAAGCGCAATAAAGAGCAATGGAGTGTTTTGTGACCAGAATAATTAGCCTTTAGAACACAACTGGTCTAAATTTGGAAGCTATGGAATTTGTTGTTATTTCCAGGTAAATAAATGTATACACATATATATATATATATATATATATATATATATATATATATATATATATATATATATATATATATATATATATATATATATATATATATATATGTACATTTATTTTAAGGTGAACTATTTAACTTTTTGTGGAGGGTATGCCACTTGCGTGACAGATATGTTTAATACCGGATTGTGGAACATTCCAGGGAAAGCTATAATATCTCCATGGAGACAAGCAGATGGTGAACCCTCCACCAGAAAAGTTATATAGTGCACATCTGTATTTGTGTATTAAGAGCTGCTATAACAAACATATTACTCCACTCTTGAATAAATTGTTTAAATAATTCATAATTCTTCGCGCCAGAGAATATCCAAATGACCTTTAGCCAATTTGCAACCTGCTTTACTTGTTAACTCCTTCACATTGGTTTCAAATTCAGTTTTTATTTCAGTAAGACCACAAAGCAGTGTCCTGATGTAGGTAGCAGCCAGAGAGGCGTATTCACACATTTTCAAGTTTTCACACTTTTGTCTGCAAAATTAAGAAACATAACTTCTGACATCCTCTGTGAATTCCGGTAAGAGTTTTGTGTTAAATGTAATTAAATGCAACTGTTACATTGTGTGCACAGACTTTTAAGCTATGGCCAAGTGTGAATTACTGTAATTAATTACTGTAAAGGAGATTTTTTTAGCAGGCAAAGGTCTTGCAGAACATGAATCCCCTGAAGAAAAATAAGATTATATGAATAAATATTACAAACTCACTCTCTTTATTTAAAGGTGCACTGTGCATTTTGTGATATACGGGGTCCACCACCTGCTTGTCTCCATGGATGTTGTTGCTTTGCTTGGAATATTACACAGTAAAAAATCTTGAAATACATGCATGCCTATGGGGTAGCTTCTCCTCAGATATGACCTGTACATTGGTCTAGTGCTGTCACTTATTTGTCTCCATGGAGATAGCTACGTTTAATGCCATACTGTGAAATATTCCAGGCAAAGCAATGCATACAGCACAATGTTATGTCAATATAATTCATTCATTAATTCACTCCTCACTTGCGACACTGTATTCTGCACAAACAATGCAATTCTGTAAACAGACTTTTCAATACTTTTAAACATTTGATATTATACTGAAACTGAGACTGAGACTTTAAGGACTATTTTATGTTTCATTTTGGACAAAGTTTAAGGAACCAAATTTGTTTTAAAGTGTATTTGAAATTTCCTTTCACCACATAACGCAAATAACACAAAAAATTTGACTTCAAAGCCACTGAACATTCCTGGTCCTACTATTCAGCACAGAACTATTTAAAAGCATGCATTTAGCAATTTCAGGAAAAATCTCAATTTTCTTTGAGCCAAGTTCAGCCTTTGAAGTGTGCTATTCCAAATGACATGGTTGCGATCCGGAGTTGAGTGAATGAAACGCGGTGAGCTCGTGTGTCTCACCAGGGCAGCGGGCAGTCTTTTCCTAGCGGGGCTGATGGCAGAGGGGGGGTCAGGGTGCAGCCTCGCAGTGTACCGGGCCTGTGGTCAGAGGGACAGCCAGACAGAGACACAGACAGAGGAGAAAGGAAGCCACACGTTTGGGGTCTTTAGTGCGCAGTAAAACAAGAACAGCGTTTGTAAAGAGACATGTCAAAGGGTGCCCCCTCTCCCCCACCACCATTCCCTCACCCCCCCCACTTTCTTTTTCCACTGTTTTTTTTTTTTCTTTCCCATCATGCCCGGCGAGCGCGTGCAGGGGGCGGGATAATGACACATGCAGCTTACACAGTGACTGAGAGCCGTGGGGAGAATGGAGGTTAATGAGCTGACAGACCCCTCCACCCCGAACACGCCCCCCCGCCCAATGTACATGCACCCTCCCACCCCCCCCCTTCAACCCCGCGTGCCTTCATCTCCATCCTGCTGCACACACATACACACATGCACTTACACAGTACACAGAGAGCTTAGTCAGACAGATTTCTGCTTAATTAAGACATTTAACTCCACAAATGCGCAGAGAAACTGGCGGGCCCTGATGGCACAGAAATGCTACTGTATTTTAAAGGTGCTCTATGTAACTTTCCAGGTGTAGGTCTGCCACCTAGTCTCCACGGAGATGTTATTGCTTTACCTATAATGTTCTATAATATGGCATTAAACTTTTCTGTGTTGCATTTATATAATTCCAGATTTTCTGCACAAAATAATACTTTCCAAAACATGCATTGTCACAGTAAGCAGGGTAGCCTATGAGCTGTAACTTAGAGGCATTGGCTTTTGTTCATTGAGCCTAAGGGTGCGCAAAAATATCGAAGGTGTAATAAGTGTATTTTACTCAGTTATTTTGTTACAGTGCTACAGTTTAGTTGTTTGTTCAGAGGAAGGAAACTCATTTATGTGACACATTTGACATATTCAATGTTTTGATGATTAAAATGTTTGTGTTTCATATGAACTTTGCACAAGAAGTGGTTTAACTAAGACTTAGTATCACAGCCATGATTTAGCTTTTATTTTTACTGAATCATATTGAATCGATTTGAAATATATTGTATTGAATTGAAAGCACACTGTATCGAGATACGTATCGTGGACTATGTATCGAGGTATGTATCGTATCGGCAACTTCTTAATGATACCCAGCCCAAATTGAGACAGATAAGTTTAATAGTATAATGTGGAGCATTACTAACTGTAGAGTTATGACGTATCACTGTGTACTCACGAGGGGGATGCCTCCTTTGTCCAATAGGAGGCCGGGATATTGTTACATGTTTATTTACAAGGCTATGCTCATAATACTCTCCATACATTTGTGCTGTAATCACACAGAGAAGTGCTGACTCTTACTCCTTGTGATCTAATAATTAGCTTTAACATATCATGTCCATTGAGACAGGAAGTAGTTACCTTTGACAGTGAAGTGAACATTCAACCAGACTATAATTTGTACATTACACATTCAAGAACTCTGCAATCTGTCAATCAATACTAGTTATGCCACAAAAATCACCAACACTCACATAATTAATAAATGTTCTCTCTCTTTGGTTTCCAGCTATGTGTGTAGGCATCCTCTCTCACTCATAGCAGCAAATCTAATATCCTCCCTTCACCACCACTAGTCAAGGCCAGAATTTTTCAAATACCAAATTAATCTTTCTCTCTAACCCCTCCTCTCTCTGCCATGGTTTAAGCGCCAAGTTGATCCATTCGCTAAGTTATTATATTTGTCTCATTTTCACTTTCTGTTAAGCTTACTAAGAGAATAGCAGAAACACAACCAAACAAGAAAGTGCCCAAAATCTTTCTCAGCATCTTAATTCTGTTTTAATTAACAACACATTTATATTTGTCCAATTTGCTTTCACAAAGAATTACAAGATTTAGATGTACAAACTAATTCAATTTTCTATTCTTGTGTGTAGCTCCATGTACTGACTATATACACACACAGAGAAGGCTCACATAAGACACAGGGCTGTACAGTGGAGCAGAGCCAGAGGAGCAGAGACTAAACCAGGATCATGACCAGATTTACTCAGTCTCCACATCGGGATCATGGCTCGCGGACAAGCTCAGGAAAAGTGCAACAATCAGAGGCCCCATCAACAATATAATCTACTTATTATAAAACACTCTGACCTGTAAACAATAGACTGTAACATGTGAACTGTACTTAAGCTGTCGAGTGAAATAGGCACAACGGGCAGCAGTTGTGTGGGAGTCAGACATTAATTATAAGTGTAAAACATGTAAAAATAAACTCAACGGGAATGTAAATGTGTTGAAAAAGCTCCCAATGTGGTATTTAAATTTAGAAACCACTGACATTTATACAGGTTAATTTTTTTTTACAGATATAACAGTTTATGTGGGCTATGCAGTTAATCAAATTGCAATTACAATTCTGATTATTGCTCTAATCAATTACAGAAATTGCATACAAATGTTATTCACAGATAAACTTTCTACTTGTACAATATGTTGACTACAGTCTATTGTGTGAAATATGTCACACACTTTCCCACTGTATGTACTTAAATGTAGATGTGTCTTCTCTCTAAGCAATTCATCATTTGGATAATTGTGATTTCAAATAATTATGATTATTGCTTTCCATTATTGTTTTCCATTATAATGTTTCATTGAGTGATACAAACTATTTATGTAAACCGAGAGCAGTTTATTTATTTAACCTTTATTTAACCATGTAAAATGTTTAAGAACTAGTTCTCTCTTACAAACATGACCTGTTGTGCTTCCATAGACCCAACTTCACTTATCATTAAAAAAATTAGAGATCAATCTAATAATTCTTTAGCGTCAATGGGGGTCAACAAGTCCTTTTTAGGCTCATATAACAATAAAATGTGCACATTTCTCACCAAAGAAGCAACATGCAAAGGTCAAATGTTCCTGTGTCAAAACCACAGACCAAAAAATAAACACAGAAGTATGAGAGGCAAACTAAAACGGAGAAACGGTGTCTATTTCTTGGCTGTCACGTGTCGTAATGTGGGTGCAAAGACTTTCAATCAAACCTCAGAGTCTTAATGTTGCATCAGTGCAAAGCCAATGACCATTGTGTGACCAACAAAGAAACATTAATGCACATAACCAACCAGGCTATTCACATGAAAGCAGCTCAACTGTTTCATTTCAAGTTGCATTTAACTGCTTGGGAAAAAAAATAAAAAATGAGCAAAGAAAAATGTATTGACTATGCAAAACAGATGAAAAAGTTTAAAATGGAAAGTTTATTACCCTAAATGGTTTCATGGAACTTCTTTGAAGCCCAAATGTAGTTTCACTCCATAAATTAAAGTAGTCATATTATGCCAAACCAACATTAATAATATTAATACAAAATATGCTTTATATAGTGCTTTGCAAAAAGAAACTCAAAGGCACTTTGCTGAGATTTTGTTATAACAGTGTTCCCTCATTATTAGTTCACTTGCAATTTGAGTTGTATTGAGTTATAGTACATTGTCTTGCATTTAAAACTTGAGTACTACTCACTTTCCCCCTATCCCCACCCATATCCTTGTACTTAGTTGCAATATTTTGGAAAATCTGAGATTTTTGTATGTGTCAAGGAGACATTTTTCAAAAATAACATGTAATGTAAAATCTGCTGCTTGCTACAGTGAGATGCCGAGGCGGGGCCATTCTTTTCTGCAGTTTTCAACAGGAAGTCAGTGGACCTGTTTGCATTATTAAGCTGTTTTAGATCAATATTAAAAAAAACAAAATGTAAAATGATTATCTAATTATGTAGTAGTTCAATACTAAGCACCAGAATATGTCTTCTGTAACTCTATTTCCAAATGTGATCCTTGCTCATAACACACTATGTGATTTTGTGGGAAAAGAAAACATTCCCAAAACCTTTTTGTACTGCACCTTTAAATGCAGGTATTTGAGCAAAAACTAAATGAGCTCAAATATAATAATATGCACACACACTTTTCAATGTACTAAATGTCAGGTTTAAACATCTCTGCAATGCCTGTTAATTATTCCACATAAAAAAGTGCATTACAGTTGAGAATACATTAGACTACAATAACATCTTTTATAAATGGTCTGAACATTATGTGGGTCTGAAATAGTCTTGATAATGGCGTATATAGAGCAGTACTTGGAAACAATGGGAGATGGATGGTTCGTCATTAGGGCCCATTGTGAATCTGTGGAGTGAGTAATTTGTGCGAAGAAGCCTTGTGCATTTTTAATATTCTTAAACTGAAGAGCCCCAAGAACACAAACTCCATAAAATAATAACAGGATCCCACCTTCGCACTATCTCAACCTCTCAATTATTTACCGCTAATGAATCGCTGTGGGCTACTTTCTCCCCAGAAGTACAGTCTGCTCTAAACCAGCTCAACACATAGTTAAATACTTGCCCAATTAAACTAAATGTCCCCAATTTCATACAAGGACGTGCAAGTCTTCCTCTGTTCCTAGATTCAACCTTGATAACGTTATCTCCTTCAACATTAGAGATTTTCTAATTTGTTTCAATGAAAAAGCCATAATAAGCTTCTTAACATTATTTTCAGCTTGTGTGAGAGGATATAATGAAGCATTTGTGTGGTTACTGGCAGAGGAGCGGGCCAGTTGCCAGGCATCCACCTGTCTCTGCCCTTTGCAGCCAAATAAGACACTTTCAGTCAGCCCTGAGCCTTTTGGACCTGGGAATAAAAGGAGCCCTAATACATACTACAACAACATAATGACGAAACATGAGAACAAGTAAGTGGATCCTCGAACCAGTGTTTAAGCTAAAAAAGATCATTTAAAACTATGAATATACGCATGTAAAATAACATTCCCATATAAACCTTTACAAAATAACTTGAGATTTAGATATAGCTGCACAATCTGCTTGATCTCATTTTGTACAGAAATGCCATGTGAAGTTAATTAAAATATCATACCTAAAATAGTCCATATTGTGGCATTAAGCAGTGACTATGACAACAGGAAAAAGCAGGAAGTAAACAAAAATGTCACAGTGTGTCCAT